TTCGTATTTTATGCATGTTCACGGTAGGTCCAGTATCCAGTTGAGAATGTGGTTTTTCGCGTGATTCGAATGTATTCATGATTACCAAACTTTTTGATAAACACTTTTTGTTTACCACAAACGATGTATAAATAAGTTTCGGCGTTCCAGTTTTTTTCGCATACTGAAGTTAAAAAGTCATTTTGCAAAGAAAAGATTATTTAGAAAGAAAGCATTCGGGCTTTTAAATCTGAATATTTAATTTCAGTACTGCGTTTATAGAAGAACAATAACACATAGTAAAACAAGCCCGAAAACATATAAGTTAAACTATGTTGCTCAATTGTACTGCATGCTTTGCAATTTATATTGACTGGAAACATTTTACCATAACTTGCAGTTTTATATAACTGAAACGGCAATTTAAATTCTAACGATAGAAGAGTCATGATTCTGTCCTAAAACATGTCATGATTGCTTTGTTATTAGTCTGTGTTATCTTCAATGTTTCGTATACGTTGTTTTGTCACAACATGCACAAACCGCTAAAACAAATGCGTACACCAAGCTTGTTTAGTTAGATTAATATCCTTTGACGAGTTTTGTAGATTTACAAACATAGAACACCTGTTTGTCTGATACTAAACATTTTTCATGAATCAACAATAAAGTGCAGATGAGGATATCAAAACTATGCCAATTGTAAAAAATAGACAAACGAAGCAGCGTTAAAATGTCCAATGTTAAACAGAAAACACCATGACCAAAAAGAAATACGTCGAAATGAAAAAAAAAAAAAAAAAAATCACAACAGTACACAAAGTAAACCGATTAAATGACAAACAATATAATAACACAACAATACAATAATCAACACGATAAAATTGCAAGCAACAATAACATAACAGTACGCAGAACAAATCGATGAAATGACAAACAGCAATAACATAACAGTACACAGAGAAACAATAGCACAACAGTACACAAAGCAACACGCTGCAATAGCAAACAATAATAGCACAACAGTACACAGTGCAACACGATAAAATAGCAAACAACAATAACACAACAGTACACAGAGCAACACAATGAAATGACAAACAACAATAACACAACAGTACACAGAGCAACACGATGAAATAACAAATAACAATTACACAACAGTACACAGAGCAAGACGATCAATTGATATACAACGATAGCACAACAGTACATGGTGGAAGACGATGAAATGGCAAACAACAATAACACAAAAGTATACACAGTGCAACACAATGAAATAGCAAATAACAATAATGCAATCGTACATAGATGATGAAATGACAAACACAAAATAGCACAACCGTACTCAGGGCATAACGATAAAACGACAAACAAAATTGCACAACAGTACACAAAGCAACACGATGAAATGGAAAACTACAAAAACACAGTAGTACCCAGAGCAATACGATGAAATGACAAACAAAAATTACACAAAAATACACGTAGAAACTTCAAACAACAATAACACATCAGTACAAAGAAAAAAAACTATGAAATTACAAATAACAATAACGCAACATTATACAAATTAATACGTAAAATTACAAATAGCAGTTACACAACAGTACACATTACAACTTCATGAAATGACAAACAACAATACCAAACAGTACACAGTGCAACACAATGAAATGACAAACAACAACGACACAACAGTGCATAGTGCAACACAATGTAATGACAAACAACAATACATGGAGCAACTCGAGGCATTAACAAATAAAAATTACTAAACAGTGCACATCACAATACAATCAATTCACATACAACAATAGCACAACAGTACACGGTGCAAGACGATGAAATCGCAAACAACAATAACACAACAATACACAATGTGCAACACGATGAAATGACAAACAAAAATAGCACAACCATACACAGAGCAACACGATGAAATGAAAAACAACAAAAAACACAATAGTTCTCAGAGCAACACGATGAAATGAAAAACAAAAATTACACAACAGTACATATAAAAAACATCACGAATTGACAAACAACAATAACAAAACATTACACAGTGCAACACGATGAAATGACAAATAAAAATATCACAACAATGCACAGCACAATACGGTGAAATGACAAACAACAATAGCACAACCATAAACAGACCACCACTGTGAAAAGACAAACAGCAGTAACACAACATGACGCAGAGCAAAACGATGAAATGAAAAACAATAATAGCACAACAGTACACAGAACAACACGATGAAATGACAAACAACAGTAGCGAAACCGTACACAACGCAACACGATAAAATGAAAAACAACAATAACACAACAGTACACAGAGCAACATGACACGACACACAACAATAGCATAACAGTACACACTGCAATACTATGGAATGACAAGCAACAATAACACAACCAAACACAAAGCAACACCAACTACAGCAAAACTCGGTGATGAAATCAATTGTGCTCTGGGCGAGTTAGCAATTCCTGCTTGCTCCTCTTGTGACACACTCTGTGTTACTCTTGGTAATTAAATTCATGAATGCAACTCTTACGGAATATCAAAACTAGATGAGTTTATTACAGAGGATTATTTGTTTCTTTCAAACAGAATCACATCTTTAAAAATGTTGGGATGAGGTAGATCTTGACATTGTACGGACACCTGTCTATTGTCTATTGTTGAAAACTGTATATCGCCCTCTAGAGGACTTCTTGTTAGTTTTTTTGTTAGGTTTCTGACTCATTGACGTTTTCAACACATCTCTGTTTAATTCATAGAAACATTATATCATTGTATTTTTTAAATGTATCCAAAGGTAGTAAATAGTCACTGTATATATTTAGTGTTCATAAACTGGTATTGGAAGCAATTTGACATGTGATACTTATAACGTCTATTGACTTTGTAAAGTACATAAATACATAATTTGAGTTAGCTATTAAGTGTGTTGTTACTGCATGAGCAAGTATAACATTTCAGCAAGATTGGATTCAACTAAGCAATAGTAATACTTGAAAGTTGTACGTACTTCTTTTTATTCCTGGAATGTAATTATAAACATTTCCGCTGCGCATTCTGTCAAAATGAACACAACGACATACTAAATTTTGTGAAATTAGAAAAGTAGTCTGTTTGTTTACATTTCAAACCAATTTCTCACACAAAAAAACAAGGTAAAAAAAGGAAAATTCCGTCCAATTTACTCGCAAATACACAAACCCAGCGGGACATTGTACCTGTGATATTTGTTTGTAGTATCTGTTTTTAACACTTGTACATGTAATTTAGAACTATTGCGAGCCAGTTTTTATTTACTTTTTTACCAATGTTTTTTTTTCTTTCTATTTTGTGAATTACATCCTAGATATATTGTGTCTGACCTAAATTGTAATGTGTAATACTATTTATTATCAATCTTTATCAATATCAAGCTCAAAATTATTGATTTGGTGTGCAATGCCTTGATGATCAGCAAATATGTGGAATTTCGGTTTTATATATCGCAGTCCTAATTTGTCTATGGTATGTTTCTGTACCCATCACATCCCCTGAATTGTTGGTTTGAATTTTTTTTCTACCCTTATTGGACAAGAAGAAATAAAAAGGTATGTATGAAACATGTGTACAGGTCATTAGAACCCTACCTAAAACTGACAATATTTTATCAGTTAAACTGCCTTTTGACGTGACGTATTTTGTTTACTTTCTATTATTAATTATTGATTAGTATTGAAATCTACAAATTTTAAGGAATCAATGGAAGGAGGGAAATTATCAAATTGAAGTATTGTATGACACTTAAACAAAGTTAATAGAGTCATATAAAGTTACACTCTATATTGCGTCATTGTTAATGAACAAATCATATTAATAGTATATTATAAGTATATCGATCTTTACTGAATGACCATATTGAACCAATCTTACTAATGTTCTACCATATTAATTTTTCTGCAAACAGTTACAATTATCAATATTTGATTGTAGGTTTTTTTCTTAGTCATTTAAAAGTATAAAAATTATTGCATCTGCTTGAATGTATAATCATAATTGTATCCAATTGGATAATGCGTTTAAATTGACAATGATTAATCTCGATAAGAAAAGTACAAAAGATCGGTAGGGTGATTCTGTTTTTTTCAATTACCATCTAAACTTGACATTCCTAAATTCAAAATTGATTTTCCAGTTCCATGATGACATTTATTAGTTCCGAAAAGATATTTCTCACTCCAAGTAAATATTTCGCACCTCTAAGTTGACATTTCTCAATTCCAACTTGATGTTTTCATGTTTCAAGTTGACATTTCTCCCTTTTTAGTTTGAAATGGAAAATGTCAAGTTGGAAGTGACAAATAGCAGGTTTGAAATGAGAGATGGCAACTTGGAACTGATAATTTCAAGTTGAAAATAAAAAAAATCTATTTGGATGTTAGAAATGTCAAGTTGAGGTGGAAAATGTCAAATTGGAAGTGAGAAAAGTCAACTTCGAAGTTAGAAATGTCCATGTTGATCAGAGATTTGTCAACTTGGAAGTGAGATATGTCAACCTGGAACTGCAAAATGTCAAACAGGAACTGAAAAAATGTCAAGTTGGAAGTGGTAAATATCAAGTTGAAAGTGAGACATGTCAAGTTGGAAGTGAGACATGTCAAGTTAGAAGTGATAAATACCAAGTTCGAAGTGAGAAATGTCAACTTAAGTTTATAAATGTGAGAAATGTCAACTAGGAGTAGAAATATGTGTCTCTCTTAATTTGTTTCGCAAGATAATTATTTCTCAAAATCATAAACTATTTTCTAAATGGACAAATAATCATCTACAATGATCGAAGAATCTCATGTCATGTCGTGTGTGTCAATTATTCTAAGCTGGCTGTTTACATTACATTTCCCAATACATTTCAATACTTTTGTTAATATTTATATATTGAACAAGCTGTTGACTGTTCATCTCTATGTCATAGATTTATTATTAAATCTTTTAGAAATTTTTATTAGTTAATTAGAGCCTATTGAACAACCGCCCATTTTCAGTTGATGAATATTTTCTTTCTTTACGTCTATATTTGTCTGTCAAACAGACGGATGAAAAGGAATTAAGACGAACTCTTTTTGGACACATTAACATCTATTAGAATCGTCTGTAGAACTTTTACGCGAAATGAATCGACAAAATTTTGGTTATATAAGTAAAATACATTTTCTTCTTGGATTAGTCACCGGAATTATGGCAGCTTTTTTAACAACAATGATCATCTTTCAACCTCATTTTCAAAATACAAAATCCTCAACGTCTAAAACAATTGATTCACTCTTTGAATTAAGACCAATGGCGAAGATATCAGGTAGATTATCTGATTTTTTGAAGTATGACAACACACACAGCACATCAAGTCAAACCACAACCAAGAACCATATTGACGACAAACATATGCACCATGGTAAGTGTCTTCCTATTTGGAAATTGTGCCATTACCGATGAAATGATATTATGTATAATGTTTGATGTATTAATAAGATAAGATGTTAGATCTGATGCTTTCACACTTCCAACTTAATTTTTATCAATGATCTTTTTTAAATTTGGGTTAGTGAAACCGGGAATACGATAAAAAGTTAAATAACAAAAATAGCGAACTCCAAGGGAAAATAAAAAAAAAACGGAAAGTCAAACACATCAAACGAATGGAAAACAACAGATCTAGAAGTGCTATTAGTATTGCTACAGACAGACTATTTAGGAGAAGATCGTACATATACTATGCTTATGTGTAAGAGGTTGTTGCTAGCAATAAATCTAATGAGGTTCAACTTTCGACAATCGATGAATACATATACAACAATATAGTTAAGTTAAAGACCTGTGTACTCAATCAACCCAGAAAAATCAAAAACAAATTGAAAAGCATATGTCGTTACAATATATGCGATTGATCACAATTATATTATTATACATCCACTGTTAACTAAATCAATTAAAAAAAACAACACGAAGCTTCGATTGCAGCAATGTATCTGGTTAATGTGTGTAATACATCATTCTGGGTAAGGAATTGACTTATAAAAGAGAGGCGAAAGATACCAAAGGGACGTTCAAACTCATTACAAGCCGATGACAACTAACAACGCCATGACAAAAAAAGAAAACCGACCAAATACACAATCGACAATAAATCATAACATAGAAAAATGAAGAACGAGCAACATGAACACGATCAAAAACCAATGGTGATTTCAGAGGCTCCGGAAGGGTAAGAAGATCCTGCTCCACATGGGAAATAATTTTTCTGCAGTTTCTATAGTACAAAAATAAGAAGATGTGGTACATTTGCAAATGAAACAACTCTCCACCAGATACCAAAAGACGTAGAAGTTAACAAGTATAGGTCACCGTACGGCCTCCAATCTTGAGCGCAAATCCCATAGCGCATAGCAAGCTATATAAGGCTCCAAATAAAAACGACAAAAAAATACGAACTGGAAGAGCATTTGAAACCTAACATTTTAGAAGTTTTGCCAAATACGACCCAGGCAACGTATTCCATGTTGTAAACACACCTCAGTGTTTTAATATTTTAGCATTTTAATCACAGTAAATTTACAGAAAATGAGCATATCAATGATCATATGTCATGTCAATACAAAAGGCTGACCACTGGGTTATTTTTATGATATTCTTAGGAACGAAATGTCAACCAGCAGTGGTATCGACCCAGTGGTTATTAAAACTCTGCAAATATATCAGACTTATAGTTTTGTCTACATAAGACTCATCAACTGAGCTCGATTCAAGACATTTTGAAGGCCAAATCGTATACGATGTTGCGGAGCAATTAAACCCGTAAATTCCAATCAGTTCTGCCAAACACGACAGAAAAAATGTTAATTAGAAATAGATGACAACCTCTCTCCCTATTTATCCTCCTCAATATATCTATAATATAGTAATCAAAATTAAACAAGCAAATGTATACAAATAGCAATGTTTTGTCTGATTTGTAGATAATGACACTACAGCCAAAGATCTAGAAAAAAGAATTCGGGTGTTATGTTGGGTAATGACAAGTCCTCAAAACCTGGAGAAAAAAGCCATTCATGTTAAAAAGACATGGGGAAAAAGGTGCAATATATTACTTTCTATGAGCTCCGTCACAAATCAAACTTTCCCAACTATTGGTCTGAACGTTTCAGAAGGTAGAGAACATCTCACTGCAAAGACCGTTCGTGCATTTAAATACGTATATGAACATTATAGGGATAAGGCAGATTGGTTTATGAAAGCCGATGATGATACATATGTTATTCTGGAAAATTTAAGGTATTTTCTGAAAGACTTTAATACAAGTGATCCTGTTTATTTCGGACAACATTTTACGGCTTTCGTTAAACAGGGATATCTGAGTGGAGGGGCGGGCTATGTTTTAAGTAAGGAAGCATTAATAAGATTTGCTACAGAGGGAAATGATTCTACAGTATGCAAGCAACATGGAACAAATGAAGATGTCGATATGGGTGAATGTATGGAAAACATTGGTGTTAAGGTTGGCAACTCCATTGATGCACTAGGTCGAAGTAGATTCCACTGTTTTGTCCTGGAACATCATTTGAAAGGAAATTATCCCAAATGGTATTACAGTTTTGATGCAAATGGCTCTCAAAAGGTAATATATCTTAAAATTCAGGCAAAAGATACTAAGATGGTAATTAAAAAACTGCTAACCCTTCCGTAGAATCTTCGTTTCATACAGGTTTTTTGAAAGATCGTGTAGCTCCGTCCCTAGACTTTCTTATAATATTTTGTAGATTCTTGTTTGCCTTTTGTTGTGTTTTTATTTGTCAAGTCATTTTGTGATTTTCAATGCTTGTTTGGTATCTTCCTGGTTTTTTTTAATTATTCTTTGGATGATTTCGCTGCTGATGTTGATTCAGCATGGTTCATACTTGGGTAGAGTATGATTCAGACTCCTTAAAATAATTAAGAACTGGTCGAGTACAAGTTCAGACTGTTTAGTAGGGTTTAGACTTGAGTCGAGTAATATCTAGTAAAATTCGGAACCAATTCAGAATGGTCGAGTAAAACCAGAACAGTCGAGTACAAGTACTGCCTATTTCAGACTTTTACTGGTTTGTAGTGTAATTTAAAGGCAGGCAACAATAACAAAAAATGAACGCAACACTACAAAACGTGTATGCGTCTGATGCGCTTATCTGGATTTACCTTCAGCAGTAAAGCTCAAAGCTGGCAACAATAAAAAAAAAAATGAAAGCACCACTACAAAACTTGTATGCGTCCGAAGCGTTTTTCTGGAATTACCTTCAGCAAATAACGCTCAAAGCTGATTATTGAAAGTTAAGGATCTTCTGCTGTGTTTGACTTGCTAGCTTATATGGGGCATTTGCAAGACAAGTGCCACGAGACACTACTGTGCCAGTTGTGAACAATGTCTGGGATGCATGATCTTTTAACTGCTCTTGACATTTCGTTGCTAGATCTTAAAACCTCACTTTTACAACTAAGTTCGTTGAAGAAAAACTTGGAAGTACATGTACTCGTCAGACATTGAAGAATGGTCTATATACACCAGCATTGAACCAGTCAATTTATATTATGCTATATGGTTGCCATTCTGTTTGAGACTTAAAACCACTGTTTATAGCGATATTTTTTCCCTTTAAGTTGTAGATGCCTATTTCAGGCATTAATTTGTTTGAATGTTGTCTCAATTATATTAATTTCAAAAAGATGTTAGGTAAACTATGTAAACCACAAAACATAAATAAGGGGAAACAGTTGGTAACTAATGATTTGAACTCGTAAATCCATTTTGAACATATAAACAAAGACCAAAAACTGAGGAAAAGCACGAATTATCAAACTAACTAACTATACACGCATCACCAACAGGGACATAAATCCTGCGACATAAATAAAATAAAATGCATATACAACTCATAGGGTAACATTCATAGTAATAAGAAGATGTGGTTTGAGTGCCAATGAGACAACTCTCCATCCAAGTCACAATGTGTAAAAAGTTAACAATTATAAGTCAAAGTACGGCCTTCAACACGGAGCCTTGGCTCACACCAAACAGAAAGCTATAAAGGGCCCCAAAATGACTAGTGTAAAACAATTCAAACAGGAAAACCAACGGTCTTATCTATATAAAAAATGAAAAACGAGAAATATTGAAGAACCACATCTACAAACGACAACCACTGAAACAGGTTCCTGACTTAGGACAGATGCAAACAAATGCAGCGGGTTTAAACGTTTTAACAGGCGCCAACCTTCACCCTAACCTGAGACAGTGGTGTAACATTACAACATAGAAAGACATACAATGAAATATCAATTGAAATGGCATAACTATAGTATATTACGCAAATGTATTTCATTAAACGAGTGGTAACTTTAATTTGTGTGATGTAATGCAACACAAAATAACCACAATCATCCATGCTAAAATCAAAAACATAATAATTCGGAAAACTTACTATGACAACTATTAGCGTAAACTGTTTATACGATAAGTGGATCATGTTCTTCTCTTTGACATATGTATAATATATAATATTCATTTTTACAGGGTACGGATAGTATCAGTGACTATGCAATATCATTTCACTATATCTCACCAGAACAAATGCATGTATTAGATTTTTTTATTTACCATTTAAGACCTTATGGTATATATTCTGGCGAGCAGCAACTGAATGAACATAAATAATGTACACCGAAATAAATGTTTTATGCATGTGGGTAGAAGCAAAATATTAATGGGGTTACAAAGACTGTTTTGTATTATATCAAATTCAGTTCATATGTACACTGTAAAAACGGCGTTTAGAATTGAAACGCATCTACAACATGTTTAGATCTAAACGTGTTTAGAAAAACGTTTAGGATCTAAACGGATATTTACGTAAACACATCGAAACCTAAACATGTTTAGAATTTAAACGTGTTGTAGGTTTATTATCTGTGAATGTTATCAGTAAGCTAAACATTAAATGGCATCTAAACACTTCTGAAACACTTTCTTAAACACCTAAACACATTATACCACTTCATCTTCCCCAACTGAGATGGCGGCCCTTTTTGTGTTGTAAGATTATAGATTTACTTTCAATTAAAATTTGTATATGTTAAGCAATTACTTTTTTTTACTGAATCTTTATAGTATTTATAAGGAAGATATGAGTGAATATTTTCTCTAATTTCCGGAGTCGTTGTCCGACTATGATCTGATATTAATTAACGAACAGAGTTATCTTTCGTGGTAATTTGATACAGACGCCTTCAGACCCGCCAAAGACAAACAAAATTTAAAACAATGGATCCCATCGACCAAGCAAATATATCTATGGACGATGCAACAGATACAGAACATCTTATTAGAATATTGACGGAATCAAAAGCCAGCTTAACAATTATTACAGCAGCGGAAGGTAAGCAGATCCAGATTTCGTTAAAAGGGGGTGGGGCACAACACAGGCTTAGTTAGGAATATGTGCATTAAACTATTAACCTATATGTATCTCCTTAAGGGGTCCAGATCCCTTCCCCTCTTCCCCTCATTGTTCCGAATCTGATATTGTTGATAGGAACGAACATTTAATTCGGGGGGGGGGGGGGGGGGGTCTTGTATCCTCGTCTCGGGTTTTCATGCTATTAGGAATGCATTGTGACGTCGCTGTAAGGCGTCAAAGCAAAAAAATATAATAGCCTTTCAAGACGTCATAATTATTTGGACTAGACACGGTACTAGTAGTACCGTTGTAGTTCACTGAATTTTCAGAAGAAACAGTCAGTCTATCATGTCTATGCACACATTTTAATGTATGAATCTTTGATTTTGTTAATGAAACATCATTGAGAATTTATTAACATACAGTATAGGTAGAAGTATTCGTCCCTGTACATATAATCATTGTTTCATGTATTTTAACTTTGCAAGAAATAAGATCCCAATGGCCCATAGTGCAACACATTTTACTCATATAAACACTGAAATTATAGTAACACTACATTTGTCAAAGAGAAACTAAGAATGCCAAAAGAACATTCAAACTCATAAGTTGAAAATAAACTGACAAGTTATTATATTTTATTTAAACCTTTAATAATTTGTTTGTATGTATTTATAGGACTGTGACACTGTACGTAGTGGGAATGAAATCCCCAGAATATAGATCAAATTGAAGAAAAGATCAGATATAAAACAACGAAGAAAGAAGAGGATGACTTAATTTCAAAAGCAGGTGTAAGTAAAAATATATAAGTATATTATAAAGTAGCCAATAGAACTATAATATAATTGAAAAATGAAGGTTAATTCATACTCTTAGTATTTATCCTGTTAAAAAAAGCAAAATTGGTCATTATAAAAAAAATATATTATCAATAAGAGATAAGGCTTTAGCTCTCAGAAATCGAGGATTTTGTTTTAAAAATATAAAAAACTTACATGCTATTTTGTTCTTTTTGATTTATTTGTCTATTGATTTGTACATGGTTTAAAGTATTGTCTTTTTAACTACAATTTGTATTTTTCTTTTGCAAGAATCTTTTTTGAGAAGCTTGTTTAATGTATTTTAATTTTTAATATAAGAATAAGTGACTGTTGCACTACAAATGTACATGTACTTGAAGGTTTAATTTTTCATTTCAGTTTACAAAAGTTCACCTGACAATCTAAAAGAACTGCCCACCAAGAGCCTTTATCATTCAAAAGAAGATTGTTCCGTAATGAACAATTCCTGTATGATAGGAGATGGACTGACAATTTCTGTTTTGTTGAGGATGAAATTCATGTGATTTTACATTTTCCTGTTTATGACTATCTATGGCAAATTCTTTTCATCAAATCTTTTAACACTTATGAAATTGGTGATGAAAATGTTAAAATTTTACAAGGGAAAATATTGTTAAGTTGTTAATGTCTCTCATTATCTGTAAAGATTATTTCAAAATTTATAATTGTATTTTTTGTTTGCTTTAAGTGAGACTTTTGAATAAAATATTGAAATAATTTGAATAGATTGTATGTTATCCTCAAGTCTGGAATAAAAAAAAAAAAATAAAAGAACCAAACTCCAATTTGTATTTAAAAAGTGAAAGGTCCATAAAACCTAACAAAATCAAACGCTTGACTACTAACATAAACCAACAGAACAAATGAAAGCAAACCTGTTATATAACTGACTTGGTACAGGCATTTTCCTTTAAAAATAATTGTGGGTTAAACTTGGTCTTATGGTTTACAGACTTTTCTTTGGCCTCCAGGAAGAATAAAATGTGTAACCCTATTATTATTATTATTATTATCATTACTGCATTTTCCAGCTTTAGTATTCTGTATTGACAAGGACAAATGATGGTAAAAATCATTGCAAGGACATTTAAGCAGAAATGTACACAAGAATTGTATATTCTACAATATTATACAATGCACTATTAGTATCCAATCTGTAGTGCTGTACCACTAGTAGTTCCTGTAAAATCATAGTACTAGTAGCCTAACAGTTCTAAAGTCTAAACTGCATACATTTCTAAACATCTGACATCTAAACACTTGTTGAAATCTAAACACTTGTTAAAATCTAAACATGTTTAGATGCTAAACGTGTTTCAAAACGTACACACAAAAAGTGTTTAGATTTGTGTTTAGGATCTAAACACTGTTTTTACAGTGTAGAGCAAAATATTGTCGTATGAAATAGTGTCCCTAAAGACAATAATTCATGATTTAGTATCATATGTTGTCCCGATCTATGAAAGAATGTCTAAGAGAAAGACCAAATTCCATATGAAATATTGTCTAAATAGGAAAATATTTCATAGATTAAGAGTAGTGAAATTTTGTCTCGTTAAAGCGATACATCTGATCAGACATTATAAGATGCAGAGGACGAGTAGTCTAGAAATGTATATAAAGGTTAGAATTAAGATACTAATGAAAGGAATTTAAAAGAGTGCAAATTAACAAAAAAATGATAGAGAAGGAAAGAATGCATGCAAAGCTAGATTTGATATTATTCATGTTATTGGTTACTTATATTATTGTATTGTTCTCTGTTATCAGTCTTTAATTACATTATGTATATGCTATGCATTGCTTTAACATGTCTTGTATCCTCTTGCAAATAAAGTATTCATTCGTTCATTCAAATCGTTTCGTAAAACTACATGCTGACATTTTTTATTCCTGTCAATTAAAAAAAAAATAGTTCAAAATCAAACTTGTGTCATTGTTTACAAATGTAAATTATTGCATGATATGATAAAGTCTAATTAAAATGTGAACTGGCTCTTGTTACCTTGGCAACGAAATCCAGTATACTTGTGTTTCTGTTTAAGAAAAATAATCAAAGGGCATGAAAAAGTCTGAAATACTGCACAGGCCTCAAAGACAAACAGCTTTTAACCATATTAATGTCCTACTATCAGGCTTTGACTTTTTTTAATATTAATTCTGGCGATAACTTATGTTGTTGTGCACTAGTACATTGTAATTAGACTGTCCAGATTATTTCTTTTGGCATTCATACCAATAGCTACCTTTTAGAAGGTTTTCTTTTTACAATGAAACAAAAAGACGTGAAATTTCGTAAAAACTCAATAGCGTTACAAAATGGAATAGAATATGATTGTTGAACTTCTAATCATCGTTTTTATCTTGAAATTGTCGTTTTTATTGAAATGTGTCGCCTAAACATTTACAAGTTGAATCTATTATACATCATATAATGTCGAGATAGAGATTGTGACTCGGTGCCTACCTAGAAGTGTTTATTTCTTAAATGAAAAACAATTTAGATACAAGGAATAAGACATATAAAGGTTACCAGCTCATGAAGGTTAGCATACTTCAGTTACGCATGACATGCGTCTATACATTTAGTTCTTCGGTTTTCCAGAATGTTTCACTAAACTATATAGATATAAGAAGATATGGTATGAGTGCCAATGAGACAACTCTCCATCCAAGTCACAATTTGTATAGTTTAGAAGTTATTTTTAAAGTTCATATTTGCAGTGAAAAATCCCAATAGCAAACATTACAACGATCCTTTGGCATTTATATGATCATACACAAAAATGTGTTTGCTTTTATGTCTTATTGGATTGATTTTAATGTTGTTTTTTTTTTCATTTAACAATTACCCATTCAGCAAATACTAATTTAAAATTGACAGTTGCAACATGTGGACCGGATCGATCCGAATCGTATAATATTACTCTCTGAATCAATTAATTTATTCTCGGTTTAATGTAAAATTGAAAATATAAATGGGGAATGTGTCAAAGAGACATCAACTCCACCAAAGAACAGAAAACAGCCGAAGGCCACCAATGGGTCTTCAACACAGCGAGCAAATCCCGAACCCGGAGGCGTGCTTCAGCTGGCCCCTTAACAAAAATGTGTTTGCTTTTATGTCTTATTGGATTGATTTTAATGGGTTTTTTTCTAATGTTCTGCTGCTCTAGAAATAAAATTGGCCAATGCCTCTCGTCTGTCCTCCTCTTGATTATCTCTTGGTATCAACAGATCTAGACTGTTCTGACTAAACTGTAAATCAAAACGATAATATCATGAATATATTTATTTAATATCATATAAAAAAGCTCTAAAGTATTTGTATATTTGATGCGCCTGAAGGTATTTTTCCGGATTTTCCTTCGTTAGGCTCAATTAAACCCAAATATTTAAAGGCCAAGAATGGAAAAGAATTTGAATACTTAAGGATCTTTATGACAAAAACTAGCCAAAAATTGATTGCCAAATTCATATAAGGTCTTTACTTGAGGGAGTTGGAACG